TCCGAACCCTCGGCGGGAGCGCCTCCGCGCTCCCAAGCGGCGCACTCTTCAGTGCGCCACCAGGCCGGCCCGAGCCCATTTCTTAATATAGAATAAATACATGTTTTTTAGTTTTAACCAAAAGGAAAAAGATAACTTATTTCCTAAGTTTTAGTATCTCACCCAATTTTTGTCTTTCTGGAATGCTTAATACATTTTTATTTTTTTAAAGATGACCGGTAAGGGGATCTTAACCCTTGACTTGATGTTGTCAGCAGCATGCTCTCCCAAGGGAGCCACAGGCCGGCCCTTTAATACATATTTTTTATGTGCATACATTATTTGTCATTCTTGAGTCTCCTTTTAAAGTTTCCCCTTAGATAACTCTTGGGGCTAATTTATTTCTTTCATTTCAATTCACTCATTGAGTCATTCAATCATGAGTGAGTTGCAGCAGGTACTGTTAAGTACCAGGTTTACAGTGATGGACAGAAAGAGAAGGCCTTCTCTGCCTTTGTTCTCCATCAGCACACAGAAATCACAGTCCATTTTGTATGTGCAAAAGCAGAGAAAACAAGGAGCAGGCAGAAGGGAGAGATGGAGTGGGAAAAGTAGCCAGAGAGGGTGAGGTGGGAGGGGAGCGTGTTCTGGTCAGAGAGAACAGTGTGACTTGTTCAGGAAGCTTTAAATAGCTCATCATTGTTGGACAGCAAAGAGAGCCCTTGGGAGCATAGCAAGATTAGACGGGCAAGAGGAGCAGGGGTCAAACCATGAAGGATATTGAACCCCTACAAAAGAAATAAGCCTATTGATGCGAGCAGGCCACTTATTTTGGGAACATGCCTTTGGTCCAAAGTTAAGAGGCCATGAAACTTCTTTCTTTAAAAAAAAAAAGAAACCTGTGTATATGAGAAATACTTTCTTAACTTTGGGACATGAGAAACTGAATCACTGCTAAGGAAATTATTATTTTATTTTTTGGAACAGCGGTTTTTGAAGTTTCCAGATGACCCCAAAGTTAGCAGTGAATTTCTTGATCTGATTCAAAGTTTGTTGTGTGGCCAGAAAGAGAGACTGAAGTTTGAAGGTCTTTGCTGCCACCCTTTCTTCTCTAAAATCGACTGGAATAACATTCGTAACAGTGAGTAGAGCTGTGTTCCTTAAACTGGAGTGTGGAGATTAAGAAACACTTAAGAGTGATCTGAAATTATTCTGGCCCCCAAAAGCTGGCATAAATTACATAAATAAAAGCTTTAATTATCTATGGGAGTAGAAAAGGCTAATGATATAGCTTTCTTGGAGTAATAATTCTGCTTTAAAATTGTTTGCATAGAACTGGGTCATTTATCAAACTGTGTTTATGTGGCCTTTAGAATATTATCCCTTGGTAAATTAGAGGCACCGACTGATGGAGTTCAAAGGTTGTCACTTGGTTTGACAGAGTTTCTTCCCAGAGGAAAAGTGGACTTAGGTATTTCTTTCACAGATTAGGAAAAAGACTGAGATTAGGCAACCTGCCCAGGTTGCTCTGCTAATGGCTGAGCCTGTACTAAAACCATAAACACCTTGCTGTGTTCATTTGTTTCTCTCTACAATATTTGTCTTTGCTCACAAGCATGTAAAATCTATAATGTATACGCACAGTGGATTCATTCATACACCACTTTGTAATCAATTAGTGTAGACTGAATTAATTCATTACAAACAAAGATGACTTATTATCAACAAAACTAAAATGCTTGGTTTTTTACAAATTGGTGATTTTCTAAAAACCTTTTTTATTCTTGGATGTGTTGTTGATTGAATGTGATGGAATGACCTGACCCAGTGATCAGCAGAAATTAGAGCCGGTAGGAAAGAATTTGGCCCATTTGAGTGTGTCATTTTTGTTGGTGGGGGTAGGTTGGGAAATGGAACCCGTTTATAGGTGTCAAAACCAGATTTCTAACTGGGGCTGTATTGTAATTATAACTTCTTGCACCTTCAGCTGGGACACAAGTGTGGTTAAGATTCAGTATTGTCCAGTTGAAAGCCATTTTGATGGTTTGTCTAACCTGCTGAAATATTTAAGTGGGCTGTATTACCATAAATCCTTCTTGGCAAACTTTTTTCTTCTGGTAGTCATACTGTTTTATTTTTCTAATCTTTAGACATCACCCCTCAAATCTCCAAGGTTCAGACCTTTTAATCAGTGACATATTTTTAGTGCATTCCTTTTATGCTTTTAGAATGATTTGATAGAATTTCTTTTAGATGCTATTCAGGTACTGTGAAATTTTATATCTATCTATCTATCTATCTATCTATCTATCTATCTATCTATCTATCTATCTATCTATCTATCTATCTATCTATCTATCTATCTATCTATCTATCTATCTATCTATCTATCTATCTATCTATCTATCTATCTATCTATCTATCTATCTATCTATCTATCTATCTATCTATCTATCTATCTATCTATCTATCTATCTATCTATCTATCTATCTATCTATCTATCTATCTATCTATCTATCTATCTATCTATCTATCTATCTATCTATCTATCTATCTATCTATCTATCTATCTATCTATCTATCTATCTATCTAAAGGTTTTCATCCACAGTTGCTGGCTCATAACTCCCATAGCCCTTGGTCTTTTGTTATAATATTGGGGCATGTTAGTCCTCAGAACCTGGCCTCAGAAAACAGAACCTCTCTCTCTGATCTCCTGCCCTCCTTTTACCTGCTTCTTTTTCTCCCCAAGGCAGGCCATAGCTGTAAAGAAATTCTCTGACCTACCTTATCTGATTGTAGGTCATAAGACCCCCATTTCAGAAGGGGTCCTGCCCCATCCTGGGAAGATGGAATACTGCATAGAGAGGCCAAGAATAATCTGAACAGATAGGCCTTGTGGGTTTCTCCACCCAGGCTGTTAGTGTTAGATCAGACCCTTTTTGTCCAATCACATTTCTGCATGCTTGTCCATGCTTCAGTCATGCCTACATAATGAAGTTTCCATAATAACCCAAAGGGACAGGGTTTGGAGAGCTTCCAGGATAGCTGAACATGTGGGGTTTTCTGGAGGGTGGCACACCTGGTGAGGGCATGGAAGCTCTGCACTCCTTTTCCCATACCTCGTCCTATGTGTCTCTTCATCTGTATCCTTTGTAATATCCTTTATAATAACCAGTAAAGGTAAGTGTTTCCCTGAGTTCTGTGAACTGCTCCAGCAAATTAATCGAACCCAAGGAGGGGGTTTGTTGGAACCCCAGATTATAGCCAGTAGGTCAGAAGCAGAGGTAAAACAACTAGGGGCTTGACATTGGCATCAGAAGTGGTGAGTAGTCTTGTGAGACGGAGCCCTCAACCTCTGGGATCTGACGCTATGTCCAGGTAGGTGGTGTCAGAATTAAATTAGAGGACACCCAGCTGGCGTCTGCTGCAGAATTGATTGCTTGCTTGGTGTGTAGGGAAAAATCTCCACACATTTGGTCACAGCAGTCTTCTATGTTGATTGTTGTGGTGTGAGAGCAGGGGAGAAACTATGTTTTTTCC